ATACTTATAAATATCTCTTTCTATTTCATTTTCCTCTATCTTTTTCTATCTTCTTCAAAGCTTGGACTTGTTCTCAGGTATAAAGTGGTTAAGTAATTCACCCTAGTGCCTAAAACTAGGGGGGACAGAGTCAGAATGTAACTCAGGTGTGTCTGCCTCAAAAACCTGTAACTGTAAGGTTGACACACAAACTAGACACATCATTCTCAACAAACAACATTTCTTGAGGCTTATAAACATTCTGTGTCCTAAAAAACAGTTTAATTTATATGGTTTCCTGAAAATGCAGTTATAGCTTCAGGTAAGGGAATGTTCATGTCAGATATGTCAGCGTTGAAATCTTTAGCAGCATTTAAAAACTTATAGTGGTAAAGATATTTCTGACAAGTATTTGTTACTTACAATCTGAGAATATGCTTCAATGTTTATTCTTCAGGACATAGGACATTATCAATTATAAATGAGAGACTGCTTTAGAACATTAAATTTCAAAGTTACAGCACTTGTAACAGGAAAGAGAAGTGACTAGAGTTTTATGGGGGAGTTTCAAAAAGTTCATGGAAAAGTAGAATTAAAAGATAATTGAATTTTTCCATGAACTTTTACAACCTCTTTGTATTTTTACTCATATTTAGATCCCTCAGTGATGCAAACAGTTGCATGCTCAAAAGCTTGTCAGAGAGTTAGCGGCTCAGAACCCTCCAGAAGATACATCAGAAGAAAAGGACCGGCAATGTGTCTACAAAAGGTCACAACCAAGAAAACTCCTTAGAGAAGTTCTACTCCGAGTCACATGAGGTTACCCTGAGTCAGAATTGATGTAACTTACAGTGTTGGTAATATTCTTGGGGACTTTACCTCATCAGTTATGAAAGGGATATCGTATCTCTGGAGAGTGGTGGTAGCAAGGTGGCTAACTGGCCCCTCTCCTGCCTCTGCATATTTCAGAAGCATCGGGATGCCTTCTGGAAGCAGGGCATTCTTCAGAGCCAGCAGGTACATCGTGGTGTCCTCTTTTTTCTCTGGTTTTTCAAGTCCTTCCAGAATTAACTTCTTGGCTTCAACCACTGCCTTAAAAGATAGCACAATCACTACCTCAGACATATGCATGACAATACATAAAACAAGACTTGGGGGCAATTAGTTCATTCCAGATTCTAAGACAGCAACCTTAAGTTTTAGAGAAACCTTAAGTTTTAGAGAGCAACCTTAAATTTTAGAAAGTGTTCTATCAGTTGCCTGACTAAAGCATGTAATGAAAACTAGCAAGTAAAGCTTGATAAAAAATACAAACACATTCATTAAAAACAATAATAATTAATATTAGGCATACATACTTTCAAGCCTGTTATAAATTCATTAAGCTATTTTTTAATCTCCTTCATTGATTATTTATAAAACTGTAAAACTGTCCATTCATTGAATTCCTAAAGTAACAACTTGACAGTGCCTTGTTGTTGTTGTCAAGTGTTGTCGATCAATGCCAACCCATAGCGACCCTGTATATATGGTTTCTGAGGAGCAGCTGGTGAGCTTGAACCACCAACCTTGCAGTTCAAACAGCTTTGCGGTCTGGCGTATTAACCCACAGCACCACACCAGGACTCCTCAACAGTTCCTAAATGGCACCAAATAGCTTTTTCTAAGTAACAACTATAATGAAAGCACTTAGAGATCATATTCAAAGTGTATTGAAAGTGCTATTTCCAATCAAGTTGAAATGTGATTAAGTTCTATAATTATTTCTATCCAGTTCTAAAATTATTTCTTGAGTGCCTTCTGTGTGACAGGTACTTTCCGAGATGTTTTGCCAATGTGTTCTTTTTTTTGTTTTTTGTTTTTTTTAATTGGCTAGAGGAGGAGAGCTCACTCCGGCTTAGAAACATCTTTATTTTATAGTTCAAGTTACACAATGCCTTGAGGCATTTTTCCTACATTTCATGATTTCATTTTCAGATCATTACTCATATTGATTACATAGTATATCATTCTTTTCATGTATCCTTACATAGTGTCTAATAATGACTCTCATGAATTTTATGTGACCTTTATTTGTAAAGTTCAGAAACCACAACTTTCTTCCCTGTTCTCTTCATTCTTATAGGTGACACACTGGTTTTTCCTGTTCTTTGTAAAGGTCATATCTACTCTTTTTTTTTTTTCCTCACAAACTTTTTTTTTTTTTTTAATAATTTATTGTGAATTATGTGATAGTTTACATGGGAGAGCATTGGTTTTGCATTCATTCTATCGTATCTCGTCTCATTGCCATGGTTACAGTCCCCTCCATGCAATCCTTCCCCCGTGCCCCCAGGTCTTCAGCACACAGTTGCTCTACCACTCTGAATCTAAAGTCTCCAGCTGCTCCATTGCTCCATGTCATCATCTCTGGCTCTATTTCAGGCATCACTGCTTCTCTGGGTAGTGTCCCGCTCTCTGCTCTTCTCCCTTGATGGTCCTAGGGACCTCCGCTCTGAGACTGAAAAGTTAATCACTCCCCTCCTTGCTTTAAAATGTCTACCTTTACATTTCCAACCCTCACAATCAGTCAGGATAACAATTATTCACTGTTGTATCACAAGAGACCCATCTGCATTTCATTGCATCAGCCCCGCCTAGACAGATTGGATACTACTCACTGGAGATTCTACCTTCCACCAGGCCCTCTGGATCTAGGTTCCCTCTTGAAAGCTTGTAAGCCAGTCACTTCTTGCCTCTGTAGCTCTCCCATTCTGGGTAGCCAATGTCCAAGTTGCCCATCCCTGTCTACTCTGTGTGTGGAGGGTGTGGGAATGATTCTTGCTGTTAGGACTTGTTCCCTCTTTTGAGCTACTGCTTCCAGGGGTGTAGGTCAAGTTCATCAAATTGTATGTGAATACTTTTTTTTCTTCTTCTTTTTACTTCTGGTTGAGCTCTGATCATCCAGTCATTGAAGCCAGGTCAAGTGGGGTGTGGGTGTTCTTATGCATATGCCCTCTCTTCTTATCAGCTGGACACTTCACTCTCCACTGTAGTCCTCTGTGGCTATGTCACTGACTCTGGGCCCAAGAGTCCCCCGGTCTTGCCACACTGCTGGCCAACCAGGTCTTCACCCAGGTTCACAGAAGTCTATTGAACATTGTAGGGTTTAGCTCACCGCTTCGCCAATGTGTTCTTTAATCATGAAAGGACTTCTCTGATATTTTGGACTGTTTTAAAAAAAGGAATGAAGTACAAACTGATAGTTTAATGAAAACTCAAATTAGAAGTAAGGGCATCCAGATTCTGGTCTTATCTTTGCACTGCCTATGTCTTAGGGCCCTCAGTTTCATTTTTAATATAACCTCGATATGATAAGCACTGGACTGTGAACCACAAAGTCAGCTGTTCAAGCCTATCAGTCTCTCTGTAGGAAAAAGATTAGACTTCCTGTTCCTGCAAAGATTTGAATCCTCAGAAACCCTGTACAGTATTTCTATGAGTGGGAAGTGACTCCACAACATTTAACAACAACAACACAGATCTAATTCAGCTATGTTGGTGCTGTTGTTAAGTCCTGTAGAGTCAGTTCTGACTCATTGAAACACTGTATAGGGTTTCTGAGGAGTGGCTGGTAAGTTTGAAATGCTGACCTTGTGGTTCAACTGACCTTGTGGTTGGTCCAGTGCTTATTCTAGAGCCACACCAGGACTCTTGAAGTCAGCTATAGGATTCATGAAGTCTTAAATTAGGATGCAAATACACACACGCATACACAGATATACAAAAGCACCAAAGAGAACAAAAAATGCTAAACTTGAAGTGTAATCTGAGAAATGCTGTTTCTCAACTATCATATTGGTCAAAAAACATATTAAAATTTAACAACACAGTTTGGGGAGCTGTCAGGAAATAGATGTTCTTATACTTTGCTGATTGTTGTTTTAAGTGCCATCAAGTCCATTCCGATCCATAGTGACCCGGTATAGGATTTCCAAGGAGCAGCTGGTGAACTTGAACCACCAACCTTGCAGTTCAAACAACTTTGCAGTCCAGCGTATTAACCCACAGTTCCATACTAGTACTCCATACTTTGCTGGTGGGTACGTAAAATGGAAAGAAATTTGGCAGAAGCTAATAAAATTGTATTTTGACACAGCAATTCTAGTCTTGAAGTTGTATCTCCAACAATATGAAAAAGTATGTACCTAAGTACACTAAGTTCAGCATTATTTTCAATGACAAAGTAGTGTAAATCACTTACATGACCATATATATAGGAGACTGGTTGAATAAACTGTGGTATATCAAAACAATGGAGTACTAGGAAGTTGTGAAAAGAAATGAGGAAAACCTCTGTGAAACAGAATGAGGTAATTTTCAGGATGGATTGCTAGTGGGGTAAAGCAAGATACAAAAAAAGTATATACATCAAGGATCATTCCCATCCACTCTATACACAGGGTTGATAGGGATGGACACTTAGACATTGGCTACCCAAAGTGGGGGAGCTATAAAGGCACAAAGTGACTGGCTTACAAGTTTTCAAGAGGGAGTTTAGTTTCAGAGTGTGCAGGAAAGGTAGATTCCTCACTGGATAGTTTTCATCATGTCTAGATGGGTCTGGTGAAAGGAGATGGGGATAAGATTCTTGTGATTCAATAGTGAGTTATCATGACTAATTGTGATTTTCACAACTGTAAAGGTAGAAGTTTTGTAACATAAAAGGTGGAGTAGTTAGTCTTACATTCCAGAAACAGAAGACCCCTAGTACCATCAAGGGAGAAGAGCACAAGCAGAATGTGGGACCCTATCTAGAGAAGCAGTGACACCAGAGATAGAGGCAGAGATGAGGATATGGAGAGATAGAGCTAGAGGAGCTAAGGACTTTAGACTTTTGGAAAGAGAAAGACTGTGTGCTGGCAGCCAGGAGGCAGGCTTGCAGAATGTGCCTTTTATTTAAATTATTCTTGAGTGCTTATGTGTACATTAAAAAAACAAAAAACACAGGGAATGGAAGCAAATACTGTTAAATGATGAGGCATGGAGGGGATTGTAATCATTGCAATGAAATGATGAGTGTAAAACTCATGGTATCCCATGCAAACTATCACTCAATTCACAATAAAATCTTTTAAAAACAATGTTTAAAAAAATATACTTCAAATGCTATCTTTTGTGTAAGGAAAAAAGGAAACAAAAAATACATGTATATGCATATCTGCTTACTTTGCAAAAGGAAGCATGGAAAAGATAACACTCAAAAATAATGAATTGGGTAGAAGGAGTGGGAAAGGGAATGAGATCTCCTTGAGACTACTTTTAGAAAATAGCTTGTACATTGAAACCATGTTAATGTTTTACATATGCAAATAATAAAATCTCATCAACAAATATGAAAACTTAACAAAATTATATTCAAATGAAACTAAATGTGCATCAAATTGATGGTATAACTAAAAAGAAGTGGATATTGAAAAAGAATTAATCCAAGTAACTTTAGATATAATATGCTGTCAGTGAAATAATAGGGGACTGCAAACATTTTGTGGAAAAATGGAATTATAAGATAATGGAATTTTTCCACAAACTTTTTGAAACCTCCTCAGGTATCCTAAGAATGAAAGGAACTGCAATGAAGTCTTGAATTTCTTTAAGTGAGTTTGTTTTTGTAGTAATCTTTGTGTAGCAATTTCAAAATGGTTTTATAATTGAGTAAATGAATCAATTTATTGATGTTTTTTGGAACAAGGATTCTCACCATGGGTGAAGGAATATAAAACTATGGTAGGAGGAGAGGAGAAAAAGAACCTTGTGGTGTTGGATAGTAATATGATCTTATATTTTATTAAATATAAGTAAAGATATATTTTGTCCATTGTAAGGGTCTAGAGCAATGGTATCCAAGCAATGAGGAGTAAAAGTATTCAGAAGTAAAGTCTTAGATATCTGAAACCCATTCTCAAATGGTTTGACAAAACCCCTTCCCACCCACCAACCCCCCAAAATAAAAATGAGATAAAGTAAATATGATGAAATGTTAATAATTGGTGAAGCTAAGTTACGGGTATATAGATGTATATGGACTTGCTCTTGCAACTTTTCTGTAATTTTGAATATTTTCAAATACAAATCTGAGAAAAAAGAAAAATAAGCAGCAGGAAGTTCAAAATGTAAAGAAAAAAATCATTTAAAAAAAGAAATATGAGGAGGAGTTTAGTACTAGTTGTGAATTTGGCTAGTTGTTTATCGACCTTTTATATAGCAGTAGATTTCATATTAGTAACTGCTGAAAAGTCACAGCATTTGATAAAATGACAAGTACTTTTGGAGCAGTATAAATATTGTATGACTATTAGGACAAACGACGTATTGCATTAGGCAAATTTGCTGCACAAGACCTTTTTAAGGTGTTAAAGAGCAAAGATGTCAGCTTGAGGACTAAGGTGCACCTGACCCAAGCCATGGTATTTTCAATAACCTCATATGCATGTGAAAACTGGACATTGAATAAGGAAGACCATAGAATTGATGCTTTTGAGTTATGGTGTTGGAGGAGAATATTGAAAGTGCCATGGGCTGCCAAAAGAACCAATAGATCTGTGTTGGAAGAAGTGCAGTCAGAGTGCTCCTTGGAGGCCAGGATGGCCAAATTTCATCTCTCATACTTTGGACATATTGTCAGGAGAGACCAGTCACTGGAGAAGGATATCATGTTTGGTGGAGGATCAGAGAAAAAAGAGGAAGACCCCCAGCGAGATGGATTGGCAGAGTGGCAGCATCAATGGGCTCAAGCATGGCAACAATAGTGAGGTTGGCCCAGGATGGGGCAGTGTTTCATTCTGTTGTGCATAAGGTCGCTATGAGTCGGTACTGACTCCATGGCACCTAATAACAACAACAACTAGGATAAATGGAAACCTGGTGTGGCACTGTGGGTTAATACACTGAACTGCAAAGTCATTTGAACTGCAAGGTCAGAGGTTCAAGCTCACCAGCTGCTCCTCAGAAGCCTTATACTGTGTCACTATGGGTCAGAACTGACTCGACGGCACTTAACAACAACAACTAGGATAAACACTGGACTGCTAACCCAGTATAGGGTTTCCAAGGAGCGACTGGTGAGTTTGAACAGCTGGCCTTGTGATTCAAACAGAGCTCACAATCCAGTTGCTTTACCCTATAGCATCAAATCAGGACTCCATTTCAGTATTTCTACTAGGTACACAGAATAGGCATTCTTTGAAGATGGTGTAATAGCATATTTATCCTTAAGTTTAATTATTAGTATCATGCTTAGTATAGAGTGCGCAGCTCAGTAAACACTGTTGAATGAGTATTTCACGTATGAATTTTGTCTTTAACCAAAATATTTAATATATTAATTGCTGATGTAAGTCAGTTACTCAAATAATTATGGATTTAAAAAATATTTTGAAAATCATAGTTCTCTGATATCAAAAATATAACATTAAGTTTGATTTCTGCCAGAACTTACTAAGCTGATGCCAAACGTCTTCTGTACCATGGATTTTTAGTAGTCATTTTCATTCTTAGTTTATGTTCGAGTTATGGGTTGCCTCTTTTAGACCACTTGGTTTAGCAAACATTAGTAAGCAAAATAACAGAGCCATGTCTGCCTGGGCTAGGGGTAAAAATGCTGACTGCAAGCTGGCAGTATAATAAATGTGGACAGAAAAAAAACAACTATTCTTTTATATATTCAGCATCTTTAATCTATTTACATTATAGAAGGATGGGCTTCTATAATGTTAGCTATTAATCCATTTGAACTTTCCACATTTAGTTATGCTTATAAAATAGTTGCTTTTTCTTTATATACATATATAAATAAGAAATATATGAAAATGAATAGTTTACTTAGGCATGTATAAAAGTGTTGAGTAAAAAAATAAATACATTTTAAGTGTATTTTCCCATCAAAACTTCAAACCACACTTAGACTTACTATATAATATTTTCTTTTAATATTTTTTGAGAACAAGAATTAAACTTATTAAATATATACCATACAAAGTTGAATACATAGTGGACTCTCAGTAAATATAAATTGATAGGTGGATTAATGAGTATATACTTTCTAAGCACGACCTAAGTACTAGCCGTTGTTTTAAGTAGTGTTGAATAAAGTAAAACTCTGTTTGTGATGAACTTTACATTCTAGTGGAAGGAAAGAGAAATAATAAATATGATAAATAATTAACACAAAAGGTATGTCAGACAACAATAATCACTATGGGAAATAGGAAAAGCACAACAGGGTAAGGATAATTGTGAGTATCCACTGGGAGGCAACATGGTGAGTATTACATAGGATTGTCTAGAATATATAATACACAATACTGGATTCTCACTTACTTTGAGTTTGCAGCCTTCATTCTGACACAGCTTCCTGACCAGGGCACCAATGATGATCATCACAGTCTCTCTGATGTCATTGCTCCCAAAGGGACCTTTGAACTTACTCTATTAATTAAATAGCAATGAAATTGATTACCAAAACATTTAAACATTTCCAAGGGACACTTTCAGTTGAGGAGTAAACTAACCAGCAGCATAGGAAAATATTTACATCTTCCTAGATTGCATATTCAGAATGTTGTTTGGGATACTTACAAATTCACTATCTATCTTGGAACTGAAGAGTTAATAGTATCTTTCCTTCCCAGCTATTCTTAGGCTAGGGTCTATGAATTCACTAGAATATTATGCGTTTAATTCATTGGGTCGGTGAACCTATAAAAATTAGTGAATGGGTGAAGAGGGCTTTACTGTTTTTATCCAATGCTAAAGTGAGTCCATTTTCCAAAGACAGCTATGAACTATCTCACTAGATTATTTACAGTAACATAAAAATGAACTTTTAAAAATTGGGGGGGTGGGGAACCAAACAAATCCAGGTTTTGTTCCCAGTAAAAATTTTTTATCTTGGGAGAAGTATATTCAATCAGTATACATATACTGTATATTAAATACCATGAAAATGTTTGAAGTTAAAACAAATCTGTTAAAACTGATTATTGAAGTATGAGACTTTTTCTCTCTGACATTTTGCCATAACTATATGACATTATATGATAGATGAAGGCAATCTTTAAATTTCTGTAAAGTATAGTTTGTTATTTAGAGGAATGGTAAAGGTGATAAATTTAAGTATAATAATTTACAGAACAGCTAATGACTAATGGGTAGAAAATAGTCCAGTGCAATTCCAATAGGACTAGTTAGAAAGCTCTGATTTGCAGCCTTCATTTTGATCAGAACAACTTTCAATTACTGCTTAGACTCTTAAGCTTTTTCACAACTGAATTGTAAATCCATTTGACTTACAATGAGGGCTTTCAGTAGTGCTTCATTGGGGTGGGAGGCAAATCCACAGGCGTAGAGAAATCTTTCCTGGAGGATAATGCTACTGTCACTTTTGAAATCCAGAAAGTCCAAAATGGCTTCTAATGAGTCTGGAGTCTGGGCGGAGGTGACAGCATCAACCAGTTGAGGTCTGTAACAAAAGTATAGCATGGATATCAAGGAATTATTTAAAATCTCTACTGCTCACAGGCTCATTAATTTTATTTTCCCAAAGAAGTAAAATGTTACCATTAGAAAAAAATTAATGATGAATATGACCTTCTTAGAAAGACTCCATCACTTCTCTCACTCAAACAATAAGCAATGTAGACTAAGAAAATGCAAACTAGTTTTCCAGTTCTAATTTGGGCTAACTATGGGCTGCCAAAGGAACCAATAGATCCGTTTTGGAAGAAGTGCAGCCAGAGTGCTCCTTGGAGGCCAAGATGGACAAACTTCATCTCTCACACTTCAGACATATTGTCAGGAAGGACCAGTTTCTGGAGAAGGATATCATGTTTGGTAAGGTGAAGGGTCAGCGAAAAAGAGGAAGACCCCCAACAAGATGGACTGGCCAAGTGGCCCCATCAATGGACTCAAGCATGGCAACAGTAGTGAGATTGGCCCAGGACCGGGCAGTGTTTCGTTCTACTGTGCATAGGGTCGTTATAAGTCAGTACCGACTCAATGGCACCTAACAACAACAACAATAATAACTTGGAAATAAATGAAAATTATGCAAATGATATTCTGAATTAAGTTGAATTCCTTTTTAAGTCAGTAATCTATAAAATATGTTGCTGTTAGTTGGTATTAGGTGCTGACAAGTCAGTTCCCGTTCATAGTGATCCTGAGTACAACAGAACAAACCACCTCCAGATCCTGCACCATCTTTACAATAGTTGCTAGGTTTGAGTCCAATGTTGCAACCACTGTGTCATCTCCTTGAAGGGTTCTCTCTTTTTCAATGACCCACTACTTTACCAACCATTATGTCCTTCTTCAGGGACTGGTCCCTCCTGACAACATGTCCAAAGTACATGTTGAATTCCTATCATCCTGGCTTTTAAAACCATTCTGATGCACATCTTCCAACACAGATTTGTTTGGTTTACTGATAGACTATGGTACATCCAATATTCTTCACCAACACTATAATTCAAATGCATCAATTCTTCTTTGGTCTTCCTTATTTATTGTCCAGTTTTCTCATGCATATTATGCAATTGGTGATACCATAAATGGATTAGGGCATTAATTGTGAATCCAAGTAAAATCAAATCCTTGCCAATTCCAATCTTTTCTTCTTTTTCATGATTTTACTTATTAGTCCAATTGTGAGGTTTTTGTTTTCTTTATTTTGAGGTATAATCTATCCTGAAGACTCTAGTCTTTGATCTTCATCAGCAAGGTCTTCAGGTCCTCATTCCTTTCAGAAAGCAAGATTGAGTCATCTGCATATCACAGATTGTTAATGAGTCTTCCTCCAATCCTGATGCATTTTTCTTCATATAGCCCAGCTTCTCAGCATACAGATTGAATACGTATGGTGAAAGACACAACCCTGAAATACACCTCTCCTGATTTTAAACCACACAGTATCACCTTGTTCCATTTAAGCAACTGACTCTTAGCTTATGTACAGGTTCCATGTCAGCATAATTGTTCTGCAATTCTGATTCTTTCCAATGTTATCCATTATTTGCTAAGATCTGCACAATTTAATGCATTTACATAGTCAATAAAACAGAGGCAAACATCTTTCTGGTATTCTTTGCTTTCTGCCAAAATTCATCTGACATCAGCAATGATATATCCCTCATTTCATGTTCTCTTCTGAATCAGGCTTAAATTTCTGGAAGTTCATGCTGATGTAGTATTGCAGCCATTTTTTAATTATCTTCAGCAAAATTTAACTTGTGTGTTATATTAACGATATTGTTAGATAATTTCCACATTCTGTTGGTTCACCTTTCTTTGTAATGGGCACAAATATGGACCCCTTCCATTTGATTGGCCAGGTAGCTGTTTTCCAAATATTTTGGCATAGACAAGTGAATGCTTCCAGAGTTGTATGCATTTTTGAAACATCACAGTTGGTAATCTGTCAATTTCTTGAGTATTATTTTTCACCCCAATGCCTTCAGTGCAGTTTAGACTTCTTCCTTCAACATCAAAGGTTCTAGATTAGATGCTACCCTCTGAAAGAACTGAACATCAACTGAACATCTTTTTGGTACAGTGACTCTGTACCAAAATGTTGTTGTTGTTGTTAAGTGCCATCAAGTCAGTGTTGACCCATAGCAACCCTGTATAGGGTTTCCGAGAAGTAGCTGGTGAGCTTGAAACACCGACCTTTCAGTTCAAACAGACTTTGCAGTCCAGCACATTAACCCACAGTGTCACACCAGGACTCTGTACCAAAATATGGTCCCCCAAATTGATTATGATCTTCCAAAAAACATGATTCCCAAATTGATTATCTTTCTCCAATTAAGTTTGCATGTGTACATTTTTCTCAAATGCCTAAATTTTTAGCTAGAATAGAATTATTTAAATAAAGAGATGAAAAATTCTTTTAACTTTAATTTATATCTAAGGGACAAGTTTTTATTTATTTAAAATAAAAGTCATCGTAATATATATTCAACCATAATATGTGTTACCCCATTGCCATCAAGTTGGTTTCAATTCAGTGACCCTATAGGACAGAGTGGAACTGTTTCTTAGGATTCTGAGATTAAAAATCTTTACTGATGCCAACAGTCTCATTTTTTTCCCAAGGAAGAGACGTTGGTTTGAACCACCAATCTTGTAGTTAGCAGCCCAATGCTTAACACACTGTACTACCAGGGATACTTGTAATATGTGTTGCTGTTGTTGTTGAGTGCTGTCATGGCTGTTCTCAGTCATAGTGACCCTATAAAGGGTTTCTGAGGAGTGGCTGGTGAGTTTGAACCACTGACTTTTCGGTCCAGTGCATACTGTTGCCATTAAGTACCTTCAAGTTGGTTCTGCCTCATAGTGACCCTGTAAAGGGTTTCTGAGGAACAGATGGAAATACTACAGAAAGTTTCTAGTTACATATTCTAGTCATCCAAAATTGCTAGTTTAGAAGAACTGGATGTTCCCTGGCTATCATTACTGATCACTTGTCATTTTGATCAAACAGTATAGAATCTGATGAAAAGTGGGAAGAATACAAAACAGAATTTCAAATTCTCAATGAAATCTGGACTTTTTGGAAGCATTGAGGCTGAATAAGCTCTAAAACTACTGTCCTGATATAATCTTTAAACTGTAAATCAAAACCATCTCCTGAAGTCTTCTTCGAATCACAAAAATATCTTATCATAATAAGTAAGATATGCCTGCCTTGAACATTGTGTTCTTTTAAAGAATTATCTATGTGAAATCAAATTGACAACAGCAATTCAAAAGGTTACATGAGAAGCTTAGGAGACACTGAGTTTAAGTCAACGACAGTGGAATAATTTGGAGAAGGATGGTAAGAATGTTTGTATAGCTTAACAAATGTAATTAGTGTTACTGAGCTGTATATGTAGAAAATGTTGGAAAGGTTATAGCTTCACCAAAATAATTTTTTAAA